AGTTTGACTGCTACACCATCATAAACTGTGAAAACAGCCCATTGAAAAAGGCTTTAGCCAGTTAAGCTCTGGAGCTATTTGGGGTAATTAGGGGTCAAGCACCGTAGGTGCGTAGGCACCTATTGGATCCGTTAGCGTTCCTATTATTATTATTATCATTATTATTATTCTTCCGTTTCTTCCGCCGGATTTGAATGGCAGCCCATATAGGCGTATGCGGGAAAGTTGTATAATTTGGCACAATGATAGAGGACAGTATTAACATTAATCAGACCAAATATGAAGTCTCAAAATCAAACTCTCTAGCGCCACCACTTGTCCAAAATTCTTTTTTCCTCTGATTCCTTGGCTCAGTCCGATTCAAACGCACCCTATGACGTCATTTTCCGTCATGAATTTTTTCTCGCTATTTTAAATTATTCGAAAAAACCTATTTAATCGAACTCGTCCTAGGCCGTTTCTCCGATTTTCACCAAAATTGAATCACATGATCTACAGACCATGCCAACCAAAAGTTATGGAATTCAAGTTGATTAGACCAACCATTTTTGTTTAACTTGCGCAATCAATTTTAACGAAGAACTTGCGAAAATGTACTTGAGGCGATATCTCCGTAACGCATTCACCGATTCACACCAAACTTGGTGTGTGTTATGACAACTAGGGTCTGAGGTTACATGCGGAGTTTCGGCGCACTGCCCCCTAGTGGTCCGGAGATACAAAAAACTTGCTTTTTTTGGTTTATAACGTATCAACCTTTCGTCCGAAACTCATAAAACTGGTTACATTACATCCGGCAGAGCATGTCGAGTCAAATGATGTCTGATTTTCACAGGTCAGCCATTTTGGGCGTCACCCATTTCGATTTTTGGCCAAAAATGCTATATTTTACCAACACATTCACATATCATTACAAAACATGGTATGCTTCTTCAACCCCATGCCCTAAAAGTACTCAAAAACTTCTGGAGCAGCGCCACCTTTTGGCCAAAAGTGCTTGGCCCCTTAATTGCTGCTTGCAGCTTTATTTACGACTGAATTTGGCCTTCCGAATTAAAAAGCTTCCCATACACCCATGCAGTGGTGTAAATACAAAAGTTTGCTATCATTTGAAAGGAAATCCTCTGAAATGTCATAAAATATAATTGAAATTGAAAACAATTGTTGTATATATTGTGTGTGTTATAATAAACACACACAAAAAGGCGCTTTTTTATTTTTTATTTTATAAACTGAAGTTTGGAAATGTGCAAATCAGTATTGGAGAGTTCCAGCACTCTGGAAACAATTCCATTTCTTTCCAGCAGGTGTCAGCAAACACAGGAAAAAGGATTTTTTTCTTTATAATAATTCATGTGAGAATAATTCCATTCCAACTGCAAGGAGGAAAAATGCCAGTTTTTATTTTATTTCCGCCTACCTCTTTTTGAAGTCTCCCCAGACCCTCATCCAGTATAATAAATGCAATATCTCAGTGTCGATTTACAGAAAACCCTTTGAAATTACAAAAAGAACTGCTGAAAGTGATAAATATCATTATATATGTCGTCTGTCCTATGATGAACCACCTCAACACAAACCGCTTTTAGTTTTTTTTGTTGTAAAGCCTGATTTAGAAAGTGTATAACTCAGGCCCTGTATGCTCCATCAAACTGCAGACTGTTTTGATTGTTACCAGCATTTGTCAGGAGACACTAGACAAAAGAATTTTGTTTTTATCATGTAGTATGCAATAATTATGTTAGTTCAACCGAAGGGTGGGAAATCACAACATTTTTGCTTCTGATCTGTGACTTTTACGCACTGTTTTGGACGCCCCTCTTCCTGTTAGTCATGCAATATCTCAGTCACTGATTGGCTGATCAGCGATGCATCTGTGCAGACAGACCTCTTAAATCTATAGTTATTCTCCCGATGACGTCATTTTGTCCCCGGGCACGCAGAGTTTAACTGGTTAAGAGCCAAATCATCTGTTGACCGTCAGTTTTGGCCCATGTGAACTATTATTTTCCATGAATCTAAAATCCAGCTTTGCAAGAAAACCTACAATTAGATGCAAGTCTTCTTTAGTTACTGTATTGTTTGTAAAAAGAAAGAAGATTTTGCCAGTAAGTTTTATTCTAAATCTTGGACCTTATTCTAGAAAAAAGGCAGATAAAAAATTGAGAAGCACCAAAAGCACCGCATATTACAATTAATTTGAACACTAATTTTGCTGTTGTTGTTGTCCATTAATTTTCAACCAAATAAAAACTTTTATGAATAATGTGTTTTAGTTTTTTATTATTCAAATAGCTTAATTCTGACTGAGGAAATGCAGAAAGTTGACCGTGCTGGCCAGTTTGCAGTGTGTTATTTGCCTAATAAACTACACTTGGCTACAGTTTTTAATTAAACACATTAACGAATCCTGTTTTTTTCTACTGATATATGAACTATTAAATTTGTATTTTAATAATAAGTATTTTGGAAATATTTTGGCATTAAAAGTGTGGTTATGATGCCCATCTGATCAGCTAATCTAGCTTAAAATAGTGCTTAAATGTCTCTAAAATGAGATGAATAACTGCAAACAGATCCCCACTAGAGAAAAAGACCCACCCCATTCACCAGGCTGCCTACAGCCCTGCATTTATACACATTTTCACTAGTTACAGTTGTAAAACTATTGTTAGTGTTGGAAAACCATGATTAATTCACTATGTTGATTAATTAACACATCTAGCCATGATTTTACCATGGTAACTGTAGTAAAACCGCGGTTCACCTACACAAATGAATATAAAACAATCCAAAACATTGATTACTACAATATTACTGTTTAAAAGTAAATAAACACGGTTATTGTCCGTCAACACACGCAAGAGTAAATCTAGTAGTTACACAGTTACAGCACATGGGTTTGTTTATCCTCACCTTTCCTGTAGTCGATGGCGTCCAGGTGTTTATCCATACACGCCGGAGCGGTCACCGGAATATTCCAGGGGTTTTCTTTAAGCATTATGAGCGCTGATTAGCTTTAATAATTATTAATATCACACTGATCTCCTGCAAACTCCCGCTATGAATGAAACAGACAGACACGCGCGCGACGCTTCCGGTAGCCCTTCAAAATAAAAGCTTGAGCGGATTACAGACGTCATAATAAAAGCTGTGTGTATGCTGCATCAATTCATTCATTCATTTTCTTGTCGGCTTAGTCCCTTTATTAATCAGGGGTCGACGCACCGCCAACTTATCCAGCACGTGTTTTACACAGCGGATGCCCTTCCAGCTGCAACCCACCACTGGGAAAGCTATATCAGTAATTATTAGCACTTATTATCTCATACTAAATATATCTAATAATACATCGTGTGACGTCATGTGTTATTAGATATTCGTGCACTGATGTATAATAGAGAACATGATATATTATTGTCATTATATAAAGATCAGTGTGTTCGTGTCTTTATCCGCTAGATGTCGCACTAGCGCCAGTTTTCATTTTCATTTGATTATTTCCCAAAATACCAAAATATGCACTCAACAAGTTCACAAACATGTGTGTTTTGACAGAATTGTCCATATTAACATTTTATAAATGAAAGAACGGAAGGAAAAGGACAAAATAAACCGCAGGAATCACACACACACACATACACATACTAAACCAAGTTTAAATATAAAATCTGATGCATATTCGTTGATTTTAAATGTTAGACGTCATCTACAGAATTGCTTTTTAACAGCGAATGCTTTGATTTGTTGTGTTTTCTACTAAATATTAACTTCTTAACTCTTCTGAAGTGCAAGCGTTGATGTTATGTTGTGTAGAAACGACTATAAACATATAAATATGCTACATCCTTTGATTTCATCATTTCTTTCCAGCTTTGTCCCTTTATTAATCCGGAATCGCCACAGCGGAATGAACCGCCAACTTATCCAACACGTTTTCACGCATTGGATGCCCTTCCAGTCGCAACCCATCTCTGGGAAACATCCACACACAGTCATTCACACACACACACTACGGACAATTTAGCCTACCTAATTCCCCTATAGCGCATGTGTTTGGACTATGGGGGAAACCGGAGCAAACCTACGGGAATGCAGGGAGAACATGCAAACTCCACACAGAAACACCAAATGACCCAGCCAAGGCTCGAACCAGCAACCCAGTGACCTTCTTGCTGTGAGGCGACAGCACTACCTACTCCGCCACTGCGTCGCCCTACATCCTCTGATATTGTTTTGATATATAAGAGTGTGTGTGTGTGTGTGTGTGTGCGTGTGTCTTATTAATCCCAGCTCATGCGTCTTATCACAAATGAAATGTTAGTGGTAGATGTGCTGCTGGAGTGTTTATGTTATACTGGTTAATCCTCATCTGAACATCTGAATAAGAAAATAGACGTTTATTCGTCAGTTCGACAATTAAAGCAAGTCATTGTGTCTACTTATTGAACGCTCTGGTGGCGTTTGCACATCTGCCGACTGTATTGGTCATAATCTCAGACGATTTCTCTCACAGACGTGTGAAAGTGTTTTGTATTATCTGATTGTTAGCATCGTCAGCCAGTTGTTATTATTTTTCTAGGTAAAATAATCACATTTGATGAAATAATTTTTCCTATTTAGTATTTGATTAAAGTCTATTTTAACATTTTATTTATTTATGTACATATGTATTTATGCAGAAAAGGACATTGTAGTTTTTATTTACTATTATTACTACCCCTGCATATATATATATATATATA